TTATTGTCCACAGGCCTCACTCTTCCTGATCCAACAATTGTCCACACTGCCCTTCTCCTGTGCAGTCTTTGAGGAAGAGGTGGCTTTTTGTAAGGCAACTCAACAGAACAAATTGGCTTAGACAGCCCCCTGATCTCAGACTGCAGGACACTAACCAGTGAATTTAGACAAGCAATGTCATCATGTAGACTAGAAATCTGCATACAAATAGGACAGTATCCCAGATTTCAAAAAGCACCATGAAAAACAAATGCCAAACATGTACTGCACTGAACTAATCCAGACATTTAAAAAAACAATTTACCTAAATTCAAACACAAGTACTAACCAAAGATAGTTGGCCGTTTCCAAACTATGCACTTTTGTCCTGCTGCATTTCCAACAAGCAATGTCTACAGAGTCGCTATCCTTCTGAACCCCTTACCCGCCACCGTATAGCAGATATACTGCTACACGGCGGCACGGGTGCTTAAAATCATGTATGTATATATATATATATATATATACACACACACAAGATTATGCATTTCTGGGAGCTAAAGCAGGTTTGCTAAAGCACTGCGTACCACAAACAACGTCTTTTTTTTTTAACCTGTTTAGCTCTTTAGACGTACTATGCATGTTTTTGCACTAAGGTAAATTTTATTATATTTTTTCCTGAAAATTTGCATTTAAACACTTGAGCAAATATCATGTGACAAAAATTTGCAACCATCACCAATTCTACAGGGCCTCTGCTTTCAGAAAATATATAATGTTCTGGGGTTTGAAGTCATTTTATTGCCAAAAATTGAGATTTTTATATGTATGCAAACAATTTTAAAAAGTTATTCTGGAGCTGAACTGGCCAAAATAAAATGCTTCTGTTCACATTCTCCCCCTGCATCTTTGTGCTGTTGACCTCTTGTAGTGACTTCATATTAGATTGTAAGCTTCAAGGAGCAGGGTCCTCAAACCCCTCGCACTGTATTGTTATTGTACTGTCTCATGTATTGTCCCCCATTGTAATGTACAGCGCTGAGCAAACTGTTGGCGCTATATAAATACTGTATAATAATAATAATAATAATATTACAGGCCCAGGCCAGAAGAGCATTTTCTGGCACAATTACAAAACCTCTGACTCTTAAGAGTGACAGAATTGCAATAAAAGGGAAGAGATCATCTATAATTCCACTGAAAGAAGAGGTTTAGATTTCAGACATACTGCATGCAATTCATTCACCAAAAAACAGGGACACCAAGTGGTCATTGAACAATTACACTATACCTTTTCAGCCCTCAGCGGAGTGGCACATGATTTAATATATTCTACAAAAGCTTTCATCCGTTAACAAATAAATCAAATGGAGAAAACAGGCTTAAACTTGCAAGAATAACTACGTGAACCTAACTGGTTGATTGAATACATTTTTTTTTTTTTTTTTTTAATTACTTTTTATCCAGGAACAACTACTCCTCCACACATGTAAGGTGGTTTTTTGTATACCTTTTCCATACGTCTTCCAGCCAAGTCATTTGATGACATTTGAATCACAGTCATGAAGGACTACACAAGGACTGAAGACATCTTGTGGTGGAGAAGATGTACTGCATGAAATGCTCTGCAGAGGATGTGAGCTGTTTTTTTATCCCTCTTTGGGGGCATACAAATATAGTCTCTGGGTGGGAAGTTGTAGGTTGAAGGGGGATGGTCACACCATCAGAGCCCCATAAGAACTGCCTATATTACTTTTATCTGAAAGTCCTTTGCTGTCATACCTTGGTAGACAAAGGGTTAATGAACACCTTTCATAGGGAATATGTATTAAGTCCTTAGTCTGCATAAACAAGCTTTCAGAAACTACATTGAACATAATACATACGAGGGGCGACTGAAAATTTCTCAGCCTACCCATTGTCTTATTTTTGTCTAATTTTATTTTTGCTACTCGTAGTACATATCTTTGTGAGGTTCCATACCAAATTTGTCACAAATAGCTTTTTCTTTGTTTCAGTTATTGAAGACTGAAGAGCAGAAGGTCACATTGTCTGAAAGATGGAGAAAGTGCACAAATGTGCTGTTATCCAATACCTGCTGAAAAATGGAATGAGTGGACAGGACATCCACAAGGACATGATGGAAAATTAGGGGAGGATGCCCCTTCCTATTCCACCGTTAAAAAGTGGGTGGCAGAATTCAAGAGAGGGAACTACTCTGTCCAAGATGTCCCTCACAGTGGAAGACCAGCAACTGCCCCTCACAGCAATCCAGGATCTCGTAATAGCAGACAGGCGTGTGGACAGAACGTTTCATCGCAGAGAAAGTGGGCATATCCCAGGAACGTGCTGGACACATTTTAACAGTAGTGCTGGACATGCACAAGGACACATTTTAACAGTAGTGCTGGACATGCACAAGGTATCAAGTCAGTGGGTCCCGAGAATGATGACTGCTGAAAACAAACACGACAGACAGCAGGTATTGGATAACAGCACGTTTGCTCACTCTCTCCATCTTTCAGACAATGATGACCTTCTGCGCTTCAGTCTTCAATAACTGAAACAAAGAAAAAGCTATTTGTGAGAAATTTGGTATGGAAACTTGCCAAGATATGTACTACGAGTAGCAAAAATAAAATTGGACTCAGACAAATGCTTCATGGGTAGGCTGAGAACTTTTCAGTTGCCCCTTGTAAATAAAAAATTAGCAAAATCACTATACATTCCATTTAGAGCCAAATCTGCCATTATGGCATTTGGCTCCTAGTATTTGTCCTACCTTAACCAGCTGCCGACCGCAGATAGCCGAATGACGGCTTCACTGCGGCCGGCCAGTTCTGAGTGGACGTCATATGACGTCCTCCCAGAACGCGCTCTCCTGCGCGCCCCAGGGGGCGCGCACCCGGCGATCTCCGTGATCGCTGTGTCCTACGGACACAGCTGATCACGTGATGTGGTAAAAGGCCAATCACAGCGGCCTTTTACCACCTGATCAGCGGTGTCCAATGACATGCTGATCAGAAGGAAATGCAAGTGCCGGTTTTCGGCTGCACTTTCCTCACGCTGTCAGATCGTGAGGAAAGTACTGCCGAGAACCGGCAGTTGTCAGAGCGGGGATCGGCACTGATGATCAGTGCCCTGATGATCGGTGCCCAGCAGTGCGCCCACTAGCTCCGCCCACCAGTGCCCATCAGTGCACCCACCTGTGCCCAGCAGTGCACCCACCTGTGCCACTCTGCAGTGCCACCTACCTGTGCCCAGAAGTGTCACCTACATGTGCCCAGCAGTGCCACCCACCTGTGCCCACCCACCAGTGCTGCCCACCAGTGCCACCCACCAGTGCTGCCAGTCAGTGCCACCAGTCAGTGCCCAGGGGTTGTGCCAATCAGTGCCGCCAGTCAGTGCCCAGCAGTGATGCCAGTCAGTGCCGTCTATCAGTACCCATCATCAGTGTCACCTATCAGTGCCGCCTATCAGTGCTGCATATTAGTGCCGCCTATCCGTGACCCCTAATTAGTGGTGTCTATCAGTGCCGCCTATCCGTGCCACCTCATTAGTACTGCCTATCAGTGCCCTTTAGTGCTGCCTATCAGTGCCCATCAGTGCCGCCTATCAGTGCCCATCAGTGCTGCCTCATCAACGCACATCAGTGAAGGAGAAAAAATACCTGTTTGAAAAATTTTATAAAAGAAATAAACTTTTTTCAAATTTTTTGCACTTTTTTTATTTATAGCGTAAAAAGTAAAGCGCCCAGTGGCGATTAAATACCACCAAAAGAAAGCTCTATTTGTGAGAAAAAAATGATCAAAATTTCATATAGGTACAATGTTGCATGACCGCACAATTGTCAATCAAAGTGCGGCAGCACTGAAAGCTGAAAATTGGCCTGGTAAGGAAGGGGGTATAAGTGCCTGGTAGGCAAGTGGTTAAAGAAAGATAAAAAAAAAAACAAAAACAAAAACCAGAAAACACCCTTACTGTGGAACAGGTTTAATTACAATGACATAGATACATTACATTTTGGTGAATGAAAACCTAGAAAGACCTTTGTCGAATTTTTTCATCATCTTGGAAGACACTACTCTATAGAATCAAAATATAAGTACCTTTAATTCATTCACTAACAGGATGATACTGGTGTTCTGTATTTCTGGGAAAACTCACTTTATGTATGCTGATCAAAAAAGTGAAAAAAAAAAAAACTAAAACTCAGGCTGCATGAAAATGGAGTCACAGTAGCACAGTCAGCAGGGAACCGGGAGCTTTTCCATATGAAGGGAGCAGGGGTGGATTGTCGAGGAGCACTTCAGAACAGTCTAAGTAGCAGCCTCCAGGCTGAGAATTCTGGTGTTTGCCAAGCATATTTTGGGGGGATGGATGTTCAATTCACAAGCTAACACACATGAGTAAGGATTCAAAATTTTCAAAAAAAGTGACAATTTTCATTGGAGTCCAATACGATCACTCCTAATTGTGAATTGAGCCTCTACTGTTTTCATGCTGCATTTACGTCATTTTGTTTTTTAAATTACAATTGAATTTTAAAGCTTGCATTTCTCCAAACCAGATAATACAGTTTTCATTGAATATACCCGATTTCTTCCATCTCTCATTGACTCCAGTTTAGAATACAGCACCTGAGCTCTCACGTCTGTCAGTTTGCAGAGCCATTACAGAAGGGTCCCATTTTCACAGGGAAGAAGGGCAACCACATTTGATTTGGCTTTTTAATATCTGCAACACAGGCCCCAGACAAATCTCACCAGAAATACAAAAACGTCAGCTGTCCAACATGAAAAATGAAATTTAGGTATGTGGAAGCCTGACCTCAAAGTAAAGACACAAGCAATGTCTGGTGACAGATCAGTTTCATCATATTCACTCCTCCATGGGAGCTGCATGAAGATAAAATTAGTCCATATATCCCTTCCACAATCAAAGTCCTTGTATTTAGGAACCAGCAAAATTATGAAAAAAAAAAACAAAAACAAAGTAAAAACCAGTGAAATAAGGGGAGATTATTTGGGTGGGTCAGTGTTGATTCCATATTTCTCTTTGAGAAGTTTAAGCTGCTCTTCTTTTTTCTTTGTGTCCATCTTCTGGAATGCCTGAAATAAAACATAATTTTTTGATCACTTATCTGCTACGTCACAATTTATTGAGTGGAACATAACGCAGGAGAAGAAAGCTGAAAAGATGAATAGAGGGGACAAGCACAAATGAGATTACAGCTGACACTTTTTCAAGTGCTGCTAAGGAAATTAAATATATGGTTGATTCAATACTTCTAAAACTCCACTGTGCCCTTAGTGGTTATGCTTAATATCCAATAATAAAAATATTTAAACATAATAATAAAAATAATTTACACACTGTAGTTATTTGGTGCCCAGCACTTATACTACTAGTCACCACCAACTCTGTAAATTGTGCAATCCTTGCGGTAACCCCTAGCAGCCATAAATCATTAATCTACTCTGTGTTATATCCATCAAATGGTGAATAAAGTCACCCCTCCCCCCTTAGTATGGTTGACTCCTAGACAGCTTTGACCTTCTTATCTGAAAAGGTCAGTTTGTGATTTCTCACATTGTACCATCAATGATGAAAGATCATAAACCATAGATGGTTTTGTCCTCAATTCTCCATACATTCATCACATCAGCACCATAAGGAGTGAAAATCCACACGGTATTCTTTATTTATTATCAAAAGAAAAAAAAAAAGAAAACACACACACACACAATGAAGTGCTCCAATCAGCACCATCATACAAAAGAGTTTAGTCTTATGAGAGCAAGCGTGTACTTCTCAGTACATTGTCTCTAACCCCACTAACGCATTTCCTGATATGGGACTTTCTCAGGAGCAGCCCTGAGTGAATCCTATGTGACGAAACATGTAAGGAGGGGCTAGTGACATTGTCATGTACTGAGATACTCTCTTGCCAAGACCAGGAAATTGTCTGTTGGTGCTGCCCCATCTTGTGCATTTCTCGGCATGAGACTTCCTCAGGAGATCTCCAAAGAAATCTTCTGTGACAAAATGCATGGGATGGAGTTAGTGACATTGTCTCACAGCAAAGAGGTAGTCACTTGGTCTCTTAAGTTGGTGCTGGTTGGTACACTTATACTGTAAAAGATTTTATATGCTTTCAATACTAAAAATGTTCTACACCATGTGAATTTTCCCTCTTCCTCTGGGGAATGTATAATCGACCAAAGGAATTAAAGACAAGACATGGTTTATGATCTTTCAACAGTAAATTGACCTTTCAAGTTAAAAAGGTCGAAAATGTCAGTAAATCAACCTTGCAAAGGGAAAAAGGAACAGGGATGACATAGTTCACAAGTGTTGCTACTGGCACCATCTAATAGATATCACACAGAGGAGATCAATGACTTGGAGTTGCTACAGATCACTCCCGTCAAGGATTCATGTTTTGCTTTTGAAAGATATTGCTCCAGGATTATTTAGCATGTATGAAGAAGGGAGAGTTTGCGATTAGCAGTTGGCATAATCATTAAGTGCTGGGCACCAAAAAAAATGTATATATGGTTGATTGCTTTGGGCAACACCACCATCTTGCTTTCATAATTGGTAGATAAGCCTAAAAAACAAAACAAAAAGGCATACATATGTAGATCTAGAGCCAAAAAAGGTACAGGAGAGAACCTCTCACAGAGCCGAAGACTAAAGACTAAGCAGTTATAATTTCCCCCTCTGATGAGAAGAGGTACTGAACCAGCACATGCATCTAACCAAGACTAATGTGTGTACCTGAATAAACCTATTTAAAAGAAAAAAAAATAATAATAATAATAATTTACATCAGGATATGTTCACACCTGCATGAAAGGCATTATCCTTATCCTGCACTACTTGGCAAGTCCCTGACCTTCAGCAAGACACCAGATATGCACATTTATGCTGGTAACAACAGCACATGGACTTTTAAATCCTTTCACTGCCAGGTACATATGTCATACTGACCTGACCGCAGGGGGTTTTACACACATTCCCAATGACTGCAGCCTCTGGGATTATGTGTAAATCAGACAAGCAGACTCCTGCCTGTCAGGTGGAAGCATTCGGGCTAAATAGACAAATGAAACCAGCGCTCAAATCTGTAACTGTAACTGTCATTCGTTGAGGTGTACCCCTTAGAAGATCGGGAAATCTTGATACTGGTGAAAAAAAGCAAAACAGGGCGCACTCTCTTCGTGCATTACCATGGTGAAACACAAATTTATTTAAAAGCATAAAAATGCATACTCACAAACCAAAGAGGGATAAAAACAGAGGAGAAGAAGACGAGTCCGTAATGACAGTCCAAACTGACGGTAGACCCTTGGTGAGGTAGGCTAACGCGTTCCAGAAGACGTACTCCCTTCTTCAGAGCTAAGAGTATGCATTTTTATGCTTTTAAATAAATTTGTGTTTCACCACGGTAATGCACGAAGAGAGAGCACCCTGTTTTGCTTTTGTTTGGAAGCATTCGGGCTGCTTGCCCATCTGTGGCCTGGTAACAACATGGCGGGTGCAAGGGAGGGATGAGAGCAGACATGTCCGCTCTCCTCCCTTTCCTGTTACTGACCTAGAAAGCGACGTGTTTAACATCACTTTCAGGTCTCCATGTCAGTTTCCCCGGCAAGTACGGCTAGAAAAGAATGTATTGCAATGTGATCTTCATGACATTACATTCAATGGAACACAGAGGAGCCATCCAGAGGAGACACTGGATGTCTCATTAAAGACAGCCTGTCAGCAGAAAATCATTGCATAGGGAACTTTTTGTCCCCTATGTGACGAAAGAAAAAAAAAAAAAAAAAAAACTTGGGTTAAAAAAAAAAAGTTTAATTTGTAAGAAATTTCAAGTTACACCCAAGCACATAATCCCCCAACCCACATATAAGCAAGTACAAAACATAAATGCAAGCATCAGGGGTGCCTATGCATGAAAATGTTGATTGCAACACACTTGAGAGTGAGAGCAATATATTTCTAGCACCAGGCCTCCGCTATAATGCTAACCTGATGACCTATTAGGGACTTTTAAAGTGTCGCCTACAGAAAATATAGGGTAATGAGGATTGTCTCCTATTCACAGGCACACACAAATTTAAGGTTTGACATGTTGGGTACCCATTTACTCAATGCAACCTCATCTTTTTACCAAAAAAATTGGTAATTTATTGTGTTTGTGTGCCCTAAAATTAACTTTAGTGCGATTTTTGTGTTTCCTAGACCTTTGCGGCAATATCATGTTTCATATAAAACTGGAACCACTATTTTATTCTCTAGGGTGTTTGCTTTCAGAAAATGTATACTGTTTTGGGGTTTCTATGTAATCTTCAGGCCTTGAATGATTTTTTTTTTTAAATTTGTGCAAAAATTCAAAAGCAGCTCTAGCAGTGAAATGATTAAGACAACTTAGCAGTGGCAGTTCCCATATCCCTATCCTATCAAGAGTTCCTGGTAAATAGGAAGCAAGAATAGTATAGGGATTCCTGGCTAACAAAGCACCCACCCTAGGATTCTTCTGCTGTATAGTACCCGGACATACAGAAAAACTCAGGATCTGCCTCTTCGGTAGTGCCCTTGTAGGAGGCACATAAAGCCACGGTACGGGGTCATATTATACAGCTGGCGGTGGCTTGGAAGCAGGAGCATCTTCTTTTGGATCTTCACTCTCTACTGCAGGGTTGGACCTACTTGCTTCTTCGGTGGCTGAACGGGCCCTGCATTGGACCAAACATAAATTTTATTCCAGTGCTAATCTGCCGGGTCCAATGCTGGCCAGGAAACTCAACTCTGTAGGGAAACACCACAAACCGATACAGTTGCGACTTCCTGCGGGAGGCTGTACTTCCAATCCCCAGTAGATTGTTTCCCATTTCACGGACTTCCTTTCACACTTTTACGCTAAACCAGATCCATTCCCTGTAGCTCAGGCAGAGGCGTTCTTTCAAGATCACAGACTTCCTGGATTGTCCGAAGCGGCACAATGACTCTCAACGCCGGTGTAACCGTATCTGAAGTGCTTCAAGCTATCAAATCTCTACGGTCCACCGCAGCCCCGGGTCCTGACGGCTTTTCAGGACTCTATTATAAGAAGTTTGCGAAACTGCTGGTGCCCTTTTGGCTGATTATTTCAATGAGTTATGACAGGGCTCTTTGCCCTCTCTGGACGTTCTCAGAGCTCATATCTCAATGATTCCTAAGACAACAGACGATGTGCAGGAACCGCAAGCCTTTCGGCCCATTTCTCTTCTTAATGAAGATCTGAAGATATTGGGCAAAATCCTCGGTCTTCATATCAATAAATAACTGCGTAGTCTGGTCCACAGGGACCAAGTAGGTTTTGTCCCCGGGAGGCAGGCAGGTGATAACATTCAAAAAGTGGTCCATCTTATAGATTTTCTACAACAGCTGAAAATCCCGGGATTCTTACTGTCCTTAGACATATATAAAGCTTTTGATTCTCTATCCTTGGAATATCTGCAGTTTGAGCTGTCTTGTTGGGGCTTTGGGGATTCTATTCTCTCTTGGATTCAAGCCTTGTATTCTTCCCCTTCGGCTTCGGTTAAATACGCTGGGTATTTCTCAGATCCCTTTCCTATTTGGCGAGGGACAAGACAGGGATGCCCCCTGTCCCCGGCGCGCTCTGTCCTAGCGCTTCAGCCGCTGGCTTTAGCACTCCGGGCCAATTGTAATATATCGGGTGTTCAATACGCAGTTGAACCTTTTAGCGGATGATGCCCTCTTGACTCTCACTAATCCCCTGACGACGTTCCCAAATTTGCAGCAGGTTCTTGCGCATTTCTCCTGGATTTCAGGTCTCCGTATTAAATTGGATAAGACTGTTGCTCTCAATATTACTTTGACTTCAGATTTGGTTTTGTGCGTACAATCCCACTTCCCTTACAAATGGGCTTCCTCTTCACTTGAATACCTAGGCATTCGCTTGACCCCACCTATGGCTCTTTATTTGCTGTGAATTATTACCCATTTCTTCGCCGTGTCCTCTCTTATGCACCCCTGGCAATTTCCGCACCTGTCTTGGATAGGATGGTTTAATTCAGTGAAAATTACCTTCCTGCCTAAATTGTTGTACTATTTTCGCACCCTCCCAGTGTGGGTTCCTCCTTATTTTCTTCGGTTGATTGAGGCGAGGATTATGCGATTTATCTGGCCCGATAGGCGCCCCAGAGTCTCCAGAAATACGATTTTTGTTACGCTTCCATAGACTCCAGGGAGGTCTTGGGGTGCCTAATGTAAGTATTATCATGCGAGCCAGATTGTCCCACTGTCTATGTTGCACGCTTCCTGTGACGTTCCTCTCTGGGTCCTGCTAGAATTACCTAATTGTGCCCCTACTGTGACATCGATGCTTTTATGGCTCCCCCCTGCCCTATGCCTTATAACACAGAGTCCGATTTTCCTCCATGGCCTCCAAGTGTGGGACTCGGTACGCTACTCCAGTGGCTTGATGTCACCTTTCCTACCTTTGCTTCTGATTATTAACAATACTCTCTTCCCACTGGGTTTAAATCAACCAATGGCGTTCTCTTGGTGGGTGGTCAATGGTTTTTCGCAGGTGCGACACTTTTTGACTTCTCGGTCCTTCCCCACCTAGAATTCTCATCGGGAGTCACGGGATGTCCATCAGGCAGAATTTTTTCATTACCTTCAATTGTGGCACTGGCTAACCTCACTGCGGGCCACTTCCGCTGTCCCGTATCAGAAATCTGCCTTTGAACAGCGTAGCCAACAGCGTCCGGGCGCCCCGGGCCTTATTCCCCTACTTTATGCATCTTTGAATAGATGCTCAACCTGTACTTCACTCTCATATGTCACTCAGTGGGAGCGCAACGTGGGGGAGGATGTGGATCTGGAGGACTGGAATAAGGCCTGGTCGTTCATAGCTAAATGTTAATTCAATACAACCACGCTGTAGGCGGCATACAAAGTGTTGTTTCGTCAGTATTGGGTCCCGGCGAACCCTGCCTGCAGTGATTGCTGCTTTCGGGGTTGTTGTCATAGTGGAGATGTGTTGAATATAAGGTGGTCATGGCCGAAACTGATTCGTTTTTGGTCTTGTGTATTTGGCTTCCTTTTCGCCTTGTTCCATCTCTCCATATGCCAGGAGGCTCGGTACACTTTGCTTCATTGTCCCATACCGGGCCTGTTGTCTCAGCAGCAGTTGGCTTCCTATTTGTTCTTGTCGGTAACTAGAACAATTGCTCAGACATGGAAGAGCCCATCTGTCCCTCTTCAGGGAGTGCGGGACCGTATGACCACTCTGATGTTCAATGAACAGACATCGAGTATCTGTAACAACTCCCAACTGAATTTTTTTTTAAAATATTGGAGTCGTGGTTTACATATGCTTTTCCCACACTCCTCCCGGCTAGTCTGGGTTTGTGATGTTGTTCGGTGTTGGCGTTCCTGGACCCATGTTACTGGTCTTGTCTTCTTCTTCCTTTTGTACTCCTTTTTATTATTGCTTGCCTTTTGTGAGAGGCGGTGGATAGCTGCCTTTGGCTTGAGCGACTGTCAGTGTTATATCACTGTTTTTGTAATTTATGTGCCATTGATAGCCTCTGCGTGGGTGCACCATTTGCTTGGTTGGTGTTCGAGCACTGTTTTCTTTACTTTTTATGTGCCATTGAAAGCCCCTGCGTGGGTGTGTCTTGTTGCTCAAGTCTTGTTGAAATGTTTACAAATTAATAAAAACCATTGAAATACAAAAAAAAAAATAAATAAAAACACAACCCACTATTATCAGCTTCCTTGTAGGATATCCATAAACCTCCCTGTGTGTGTGGATGATAGCGCCACAATTCAGACGTGTGACCAAGCACAGCTTTTTAATTGTGAGTGCAGGGTGTTCACTGTAACTAGTCATATAGTAAGGGCTGCTTTGGAACAGAGGAAGGAAAAGATAATGTAATAACATCTCTTGAACAAAAGGGTTTTTAGGAAGCATCAAACATTTCGCGGACCTCATTGACAGATGAAGAGAATACTTGTCTAAATCCTCTGAAGCATGCTGCTAAATGAACCAAAGCATTACTTACCCTGTTTGCATTATAGTACAAGACAACCAAGTATCTGTTACAGACATTAAAACCGGACAGATGATCACAGGCGTTTTTGGCATCAAAGATGTCTTCATAGACCACATATGCAGTGCCTCTGGTCTCTGGCGTGTTCCCACTGAAAAAACACACACAAGACGATATAACATCTAGAAAGTAACAAGCTATATAGCAGCATTTTCCACACCTGTCTTCAAATGCCACCTTCAGCTCATGCTTTATGAATATATGCAAAACAGCCCTGCAGAGATGCCAATTACGTAGATCTACCTGTGTCAGTGCCAGCTGACCGTCCGATTCTGTCCTGCTAGACAGGAGATGGAGGTCTGGGAAACACTGCTCATGAAAAATCAAAATTAAAAGCAAAATAATTTCCAATACAATAGGCAACCTTTTTTTCCCTACAGCTTCTCTTCATTAAAGTGGACATCCCATACAATTTAGGCATTCAGGTCTTGTTTACACACTAGTGGAAATGACTGCTGCTGCTCTGAAAAAACAATCCATACTTGGATCGGTTTTCGGAAGAGTTTGACAGGCGGCGAGGAAGGGATATGGAGCCTCCCTTACCACCTGCTTTATACCCCTAAATGCTGCACTACCACTCCCCATTGCACGCTGCCTTATTCACTTGTATTGGTCATTTTCAGCTGGCTGTAGTTACTGGGTGGGGGCTTGGCTGCAGTAAAAACACATCTCAACCACATGGTTTTACTGCCCCCCAACTGCTACTGTAAAGGAGCCCTTAAAGCTGAACTTCATGTATGATCCCAATTACAGTTACATTGGTTTCTCTTACACATACATTAATTTTATGGGTTGCCTTTTCTTTCCAGCCAAGTATCATTTTCTTCCACACCCTGACTTCCTTGGCTCCTTTTTCTAGCCAGGTCTCTATGGAGCCACCACAGCATGCACTTCTACCCAGAGTTACACTAATGCAATTATATCATCTGTGCATCAAAATGCACAATTTGCACACAGCGGGGAGGAGAAACAGTGTATGTATACACATACATATATATACACATATACACACACACTATATACATAAAAGTGCAGCGCTTAAAGAAGTGTAAGAAACCAGTGAAAAAATGTGTCAAAAAATAGTCCATCCAAAAATAAAGTAAAAAGTCCCAGAGGCCATGATGAAACAAAGGAAATCCAAGGACAGTTGATATGTCACGAACCATTCATACAAAAGGCTTACCAGAAAGGCATGACCCCGTTAAGAGTGGGAAATTGCGCTTTGTTAAACAACCCAGAAAGCCAGTCACTTGAATCCTCCTCCAGAACACCAAAACAACAGATAAAGATCTTCCAAACAATGAACCACTCAAGATAAGGCTCAGACTTGTAGTAGGAAACATGTAAAGAAAGAGTGCTCCACATAGTGTAAAACCATTATAACATTTATTTAAAGTACGGTTGCACTCCAATCCAAATTTCCAGTTTCAAAAATGGCCACCGGCTGGTCACGCATGCGCAGTAGCGTGTGTACGAGCCACATACACACGCAGGCCATTTTGGATACTAGAAATTTGGATTTTTTTTTCCTATCAATGCCTAATGAGGTTATCTTTCATGTGAGTGCAACTGACCACTCTTAACGGGTCATGCCTTTCTGGAGAGCCTTTTGTATGAGTTGTTGGTGACACAACTGTTCTTGGATTTCCTTTGTTTCATCACAGCCTCTGGGACTTTTTTCTTTGTTTTTGGATGGACTATTTTTTGACACATTTTTCTTACAATTATCTGTCACTTTTTTTAAGTGCTGCACTTTTATGTATATAAATGTATGTGCTGTTTCTCCTCTCTGCTGTGTGAAAATTGTGCATTGTGTGTGGCTTATTGCCTAGTATCAGGGTTTTTGTGTTCAGCTGCTATATGTTATACACCTAATTTTTTGATTATTGATCATTTATTGTAATTTTTATTCGCACAGATATACACACACACACACACACACATCTAAACACCAAAATAAACAACTACATGGAACACACCCTGGCTGGAAGTTAGAAGGAAGATTGCAACCAGAAGCTGGAGCTGTGTTCATCGGAGTCAGCTAAATAAAATATTTACAAATTAATTGCAAAATAGTATTATTTGGAATATTTAATGCATTTAAATTGAGAGGTGTTTTATCAAAAGAAAAGTTTAATACTACTTTAAAAAAGGTAGGGCATTCTCTGTTCTACTCTATAACAATAGGGCTTACCACACAACATGCACTCCCAGGGTTTACTGGATTAAATTATTATATAAGAAAACACATATTATTGGAATAGTATGTGACTGGCAGAGGTAATTGGCCATGTTTTGTGGTTTATGCTCCAGATGATGACCATTAGCGGTAGCTTCCTGGCAGTGACAGAGTTTTGCTTGGCGGTGGTGGGGCCCCTCCTGTTAGTGTGAAGGACATTACAGTAATCTCAGCAAGTCTGCAGGGAATCATCCATTACAAGCCTCTGCTTCTAGATGGCTTGGAAGTAGTCTGACAGACGCAATGACTGATTGTATCTTTGTTGCTTCCAAAGGGTAATGATTCCAAGAAACGCTACAGGACGAACCGCATTAAAGTGTCTTCTGCAATGGTGAAAATTATATTTGAACACTCAGAAAATAAATAGCACAGACATAAACCTGAAAACAAATCTTTTGACAATAGAAGGATTAAGAAAAGCCTAGTGTGTGGATTCATGTAAGCTTCCACATAAAGCCAAACTCTGGGCAGATATAAAAGCCCAGTAATCTGTTCTTGGAAAAAACTAAAATAATAAATAGGACTAGCACAAGTACCTAAATCTGTCTTTAGATTAGCTTCCCGCAGTCCTCCAGAAATCTGCACTGAGACTGGGAGAGAGACCAGGTCAGTACTGTGAGATAATCGACTCTATTGATTTGCAAAGCACCTCCATTCTAACACAATTTACAGAATGGGAGGTTACAAGGATGTTCTCATCAAAGTGTTGCTTTTTCTTTATTATCCAATCAAAGGGCTGGATCCCTTGTCCAATGTGTATTACTTAACTAAAGAGGAGGTCAAGTGTGGTTAGGAGACCCTGTTGTATTGCCAATTCAGAGTCTCTTTAAAGCCCACCCTGACCACCTTGTGCTTGCCTTCACAGTGCTGTGTCAGGTGACTATTTTGATCAGCACAGAATCAGGGTATTTAATAGCACAGGGTATTTTGAGTATAAGGTGGGCTAAAATATGGTAAAAACTGTAACATATTGCAGATTACCAGATGTGGTGGTTGTATTAGTTTCCTTTTTCAACTCTATTTTTCAACCAAGTGATTCTGACAGTACCAAACCTACTCACCTAGGGTGACAATGCTCACTAGCTGTACTGTATCTTACCAATCATTTATCTACAGAGGAGCAGAAAATATGGACTACAGAACACCTCCCCTCTCTTTAGTTATATAACTTGGGGGGGTATTCTGTAGCACACATAGGTGAGGTGGGCAGGGCTTGTAGAACTGCTTGAGATAACACAGCAGAGTGGACAGTTTGTGGCCTGAAGGAGTAAAAATCAATACCAGCACAGTCAGGATGCAGTCACTGTGACGGAGAACGTTCCATGGGGCTCAGTCGATTCCTAACTTGACAGCTAGAATCTCAAAATTTAAGCCACGTATGGCTAGTTTACTGAACTACGGAGAGCTTCATACGCAACCATAACAAATGGACTTGTCAAAACTATGTAAGCATATGTGTACCAGCCTGTAATACCCCTTCATTACCAGGCCATTTTTCACTCCATTACTCAACTATGCAACACTGTGAGACAACGATTTCTTTCGGTAGTATAGAATAACAATTTTTTACTGTAAAAAGGGAGAAAACCGAAAAAAAAAAAAAAAAAAAAAAGAAAAAATTCCATTTACAGCTAAAATAAAAATGCCAGCATAGAATGAAAATCATGCAAATTACTGTTTTGGAAAGTAAACACACCAATCTCATTTTTTGTCACAACTTTTTGGAAATGAAGAAACATGCTGCTATTATTATTATACAGTATTTATATAGCGCCAAAAAGTTTGCTCAGCGCTGTACATTATATTGGGGGACAGTACATGAGAAAATACAGTAACAATACAATACACAAGGGGTTCAAGGGCCCTGCTCCTCAGAGCTTACAATCTAGGACGGAGGGGATAGTGGTACAGGAGGAAATAGCTGTGGGGGGTGGAGTGGTGGGAGAAGTGGAGGAGATCGGCTGTTAGGTGAAGGCGGGGTAGGCTTCCCTGAAGAGATGGGTTTTCAGGGTGCGCCTAAAGGTGAGGAGGGTGACAGTCTGATGGATTGGGGTAGTGAGTTCCAGGGATGGGGGAAGACCTGGAGAAGTCCTGGAGTCAGGCATGGGAGGAGGAGACCAGGGAACTGGAGAGTAGGAGGTCTTGTGAGGAGCGAAGAATACGTGTTGGGTGGTATTTGGACATCAGGTCGGTGAGGTAGTTTGGGGCAGTATTATTGACATGGTTAAACACGGAGCCTGAAAATGGTGCACTAGATACATTAATATACAGGTGATACGAGGAAGTGAACGTGTTAATGCATTGGTCGCATACAATTGCACCATGGAGGTGAAGGGGTTAATGTTTATATGGGCAGGATAAGGGAAGTGGGTGAGGGGGTTCGTGGGGCATGAGAGGGCTAAAAAAAAAAAAAAAAAAAAAAAAAACCTGTGCAGGGTGGATAAAAATAGATTTTTTAAATTTTTTTTATTTAAAAATCAGATTTTTTTATTTTTATCAAATTTAATTTTAATAAAATGCTTTTGGAGTAAAAATCTATCTAAAGATAGTTTTCTATTTAAGATACATTAATAATTTAGTTTATTCAGCATGAAATGGAGCTTAGTTATGTAGCATGAGGCTGTATATTCTGCAATATTTTACATTTTTGGTAAACTCATTCAATGAATCCAAACTCTGCAAGCTGAGATCACATGCATTGCATTGATACATTCACACAATGTCACAGTAACCATGAGAAAAACATGAAATAAAAGAATTTGAGTCGTTCTCCAGCTATGTGTTAGCCTATTGACCTAAAATCGGTTCTGATATCGCTGTTTACTAACCTGACAGCTTATTATTCTAAAGAGGAAACCTTCATTTGGTTTGCTAACATTAAAGATTCTAACTACCAGCAAGAATGAGTTTGATTCCTTACATTTAAAGAGCACCTGTCATTTTAAATCCATCATGACAGCGCCTGTTAGCGGGCATCCACTCACCTGCCGCCACCACGTCCCTCACCTTTTTGTATCACTGCCGCATCACCAGCTGTCCCATTAAAGTGAATGGGACTGTCAGTGAGCCAACATCGGATCAAAAGGAGGAGCCGCTGCGGGACAGAGATGATAGTTGCTCTTTAAAAATTATGATTTTTAAAACGAGCCTTTTCACTAGTGATTTAAATCAACTTGATTTAAATCAAATCCACCCTGTCCCTGTGTCAATGTAACAGAATGAATGGATCAGCAGTCGCTGATCCATTCATCCTGTCCCCGTTCACATTTACACAGTCTCTCTCTCCTTCCCCTATTTTAAGGGGAAGGGGATGGATCAGCACTGTAAATCGTACCATGTGATGGTTGTGATGACCAATCACGTTACCCAGCCCCTCGGGTCAGCTCAGTACAGTTTCTCGGTGTACCTAGCCATCTAATGACTGCTCTGTACACAGCAATCATCAAGCAGATCGGTTGACCAATGGCTATTTATCCAATGGCACTGGGAAAATAAAGGGCCGCCAATGTACCAATAAAGTGTACATTCAAAAAAAGTACCACTGTAGAAAAGAGGTTAAACGAAAAAGAATATCACTAAAAATATGTGCTCACTATATACGTTCTACTTCTCCTTACACCCACAGACCCCCGTATGCTAAACCAAATTACAATCAAAATACATACCACGTAACATATTTTTTTATTGCTCACTTTGCCAAAAGTACTACAAGAATCCGCAAAAAAAAAAAGGGGGGGGGGAATGGACTTACACTCTGATCTGGCGAATAGGTCCATACTTTCCAAAGATATCATACATTTCCTCTCCAGTGATTTTATAGGGCAAATTCCTGATGTACAATATCCGGTTCACTTCAGGTGGTAAACGGATCTGAGAAGCAGAAGAGATGTACGAATTAGAAGGTGGAAATATTCACAGTTCATTATTTCTCATATAGAGAGCAATCACAGAATTACACATGAAAACTGCATTATAAAGGAGTATTCATTTCCCCATTTTTGAGGGCAACTATACAAAGATGACTGGGAAATGTTAGGAGTGTGTATAAAGCAGACACTTGGAGGTGTGTTATCTAAATATTTACAGAACTATGCAGTCTGTGGAACTGCTTGTGCATTTGGACTGTGTAAATGGGGGCAACAAAGGTTACTAGGCTATTCTTACTCCAGAATGTTTTGTATTCATACAGAATACAGTGAACTATAGCTACTAGATGGCATTGACTAGAACAGTCAATATTTATTTCCTATGATCATCAGCTCCATCTAGTGGCTGTATTTTTCCAAAACACTTTTTTTTAACACCTTCCCGCCCAGCCTGTTGCATATTGATGGAGGAGCGGGTCACACCTGACTGGGCGTTATATAAAACGTGTCGCTCACGCAGCCGCAGGACCACACAGCAGCGTGATCTGTCACCGTCTGTGTCCACGGGACACAGCCCATGACATATTACTACACTGGCTCATTGCCAGTGTCATGTGACCAATCACAGCAGATCGCATGTCAATTATATACAATGGACGGCTTCCTGTCATGCCATCCATTGTATACAGTTATGTTGTTAGCTGTGACTGGTCAAAGCAGTCACATGATACAGACAGGGTCATTCACAGCCCATCTGTATCATGTGATCAGCTTTGCCCAATCACAGCTAATCACAAGAGACTGAATTAATCAGTTTCATTCAGTAACAATCATTGCAAATATCAATGAAACACATTGGTATTAGCAATCATAATGTGTTAAAAAAAAAAAAAAAAATCCTGATCACTTGCCCAGAGTAGTTCAATGTTACTATGGTAACATTGTATTGCTTTGGTCACAGTGTGTTGAAAAAAACAATGTAATAAAAAATGAAAAAAAAAAATAGAAATATTTGAAAAAAATACAAATTAAATTAATATTTTCACCAAAGAAATGTAGCAGAATACACTGTGACCTAAATTTATGAAGAAATGTTATTTATTTTCAAAATTTTATAACAGAAACGAAGAAAAGAGTGTTTTTTTTTCCAAAGTTTCAGGTATTTTTTTTTTATTAAGTAAAAAATAAAAAACTCCATGATGATTAAATACCATCAAAAGAAAGCTCTATTTGTGTTAAACAAATTATAAAGATGACCGCGCATGACCGCGCATGACCGCGCAATTGTCATTCAAAGTGCAACAGCACTGAAAGCTGAAAATTGGCCTGGGCAGGAAGGGGGTAGAAGTGCCCGGTACTGAAGTGGTTAATGAATAACATTTAACCTGGAGAGAAAATAGACTTAAAAACATGAATTTTTGTAAAGAAAAAGTGCACATGCAGTTTCACAGAAAGTATCTAAACCCCAACTAGATTACATTTAGTTTTCTACAGAACTGTGTAATAATAAAACAGTGTTTTCCCCAAAAAAATATTTTTCATGTTTTGTTGGATCTTAGTGCTGCATCCTCTTTCACTCACTCAGCCCAATAATTATTTTTTGTTCACAGGCTATAACACTGCACCAGCATGAGATCAATGAAGACACAAGGAATTGTGAAACTATGAAAACATTCTTTATTCACAGAAAGATCTCCCTCTAGTGCTGTTACAAATTATATTCCTGAGCTAACACTGCATTCTCACACCCATACATAGTTTTCTGTTCACTTACTGACCAATGCAGAACTGCCTTGATTGGTATTTTTTACATTCATAAAATATCAAAATGATCTTCTCCCCCCCGTGTAAGACCCCTTTCACATGGCGAGCCTGATCAGGCAGACCTGATCAGATGGTCTATTCACCCCATGGACTGGTGGGTGTAAACGAACTGGTGTCTATTCACACCTGCCTGCCTAAAATCCAAGCTGGTCTGTCGAACACAAGGCCCGCAGGCCAAATCCAGCCCTCCAGACCATTTCATGTCTCCCTCGCTAAGGGAGAGGAAATCCCTCCAAAGTGGCAGAAATACCTGGTGGTGACCAGAACTAGTGTCCCCATTGGAAGATTTCTACTTTATTCCTGTTCTGGGGACAAACCAAAATTTGGAGTTTGCTTTAACATTTACTCTCAGTGAAAACAGTGAACAGAACAAATAGAGAGGGGAATCTCCCGAATGGGTGCACAGGCAGCTATAAAAACTGACAGGAACAATCCCTCTCTCTCTGGCCAAAACTAAAAAGAAAAAAAAAAACAAAAAAAAAAAAAAAAAACCAAAAACAAACACACATTTGCCTTTTACATTTAGTTATACCTTAAGAACTGAAAGCGGCATTAAATCCAAAATAAAAAAACGTAATATAAATGTGGCAGCTGCATTAGTTTTCTTTTTTTAGGCTTCCTCCCCCTCTCTTTTTCACCTGGTGATCTGGTTAGTAATAAATCACCTCGAACATTGGGTGTATTATGTGTGTATGGATGTTTTTGTTTATAAAAAATGTTTTTTACATTTTAGAATGGGGTGCCTCAAGACTGTCCATAATTTTAAAAGATGTCTTGACTTTAAAAAAATAAATAATAATAAACACTGATTTTGAAAATGTCGGACCTGAAAATGGGTCCATCTAGGAAAGGGCCCTGGTCTATCCAGCTCCTGAAGGGCTTGGAGCAAGTGCAAAGTAAGGCAGGCAAAGAATTTGTTTGTTGTTCTTTAATTTTTATCTGATGATCCAGCCAGCAAGGCTGTTTTTCTTGTATTAGATACCTCCTGTATTAGAGTGCACCCACTCTGGATAAGGGCCCACAGGGAGTACAGCAGTATTGTAAGTATGGGGGAGTGTTAGATGTACTAGCAGATTTTGATACACTAACAAATTGAAGCCAAACTCCAGCTTACACTTTATAAGCAGAAAGAAAAGTTTTTTTTTTCTTTTTGGATAAAGCTTTTACATAAATAAATAAAAGCTGATGAATGTAAGCACCCCTGACAGTAAACTGATACATTCCGCAGGAGTTTGTTCATTAAACTGATGAGGACTGGTCCCGTATAAATATTAACCTCCAAGGAAGGAATTATTTTTTTTTAAAACTACTCCGTCGATGGTACATTTTTTATCAACAAAACATCCATACACACACCCCCACCCATCTCCACACCATTCTTCCTAGCACTTGTTGACATTGTCAATCCAATAGTGGAGGGAGAAACAAAGGGAAGCTTTTACACATCTGGTGGTCCAGCCCTCATATACACCCCATCTGGGACACCATACGTTCAGTGATCAAACAGATACAGATACATTCTACCTTTTGAACCAGCCAATTTCCTTCTACACCACACAGACATCTCCCCTTCTAAATACAAACAGTCACTTACTGTTCACCTGCTGAATGCAACCGAAATGCTCATCCCAGATTCTGGAGAACAACTAAGACCCCGGGACTCACTGAATGGTGTCACCGCACTGATCAGGTAGGAGAGATGGAGGATCTGATACACATGAGCAATGAAACTAAGAATAAGTGAAGTGAACTTCTGCACCTACTATACAAAAAATGAAACTATGTCTCCATACTTTTCCACCTGGACGCGTTGGTTCCTCTTTAAAGACTCAGATCTCTATAAACAGCATCGTCCCTCCTGAATGACTTGCTATCGGCTTTTGCCCTGCACTCATTATACAGGCTTCCATCTTTGCCTCACTGGCTAGACAGGCTGGAAAACATGCCCTGGGGACGCACATTCCCTCTCCTCCCTTTTTTTCCCCTCCCTCCCATTCCTGATCCGACTTTTATCGGACATTTTTTCCTGAATGTCATACCCAGCACTCTACTGATTTAACTACCTGTGCGCAATCTTCGCACTTCTGAGATACAGTATACCAACTCACTTACACAAATGACACTGTGTCTGTTTGGTTTTCTACTGTTGGGAATCTGCCCACTATTGAAGTTATTGTTTGATTGTTTTTTATTCTCCAGCTGTAACCTATTTCTAAAATTGTATTAATGCTTTTTCTACATATACCTGTGACACCAAGATATGTTTTTGAATTTGATTGTACTTATCCCTGCTGGATGGTTTGTAATGCTGTTCTTGTTTTGTTTTTTCAATAAAACTTTGAACAAAAAAAAAAAAAAATGAACTAGTGGTGCACCGAAATGAAAATTCTGGTGCTGATACTGAACCTTCAAAATGCACTTGGCCGAAAACCAAAACTGAAACACGCAGTTTTAAAAAATGAATCTATTTTTTTTTGTAAAAAAATACACTTTGATTAAAAAAAAACAAAAAAACTATATACCCCAAATTTTTTTGTACAATATGAAAGAGGACGTTACAGCGAGTAAATAGATACCCAACATGTCACACTTTAAAAAGCATGGGTGATGCTTTAAAAATGTCTACAGGTTTGCAATGTAACGTTACAGAGGAGGTCTAGTGCTAGAATTATTGCGCTTGCTCTGACATTCATGGTGATACCCCACGTGTGTGGTTTGAACACCATTTACATATGTGGGCATGGCCTACGTATGCATTCACCACTATTGCGAGCACGGGGGGACAGGGGCACTTCAAAACTTTAAAAAAAAAAATTATTTTTTTTTGTACTGTTCCTTTAAAAAAACAATTTTAATCACTTATTCTTATCACAAGAAATGCATGCATCCCTTGTGATAGAAATAATTAATGACAGGTCCTCTTTATGGAGAGCTATGGGGTCAATAAGGCCCCACATCTCTCGTCTGCAATGTAAAGCATTATTAAAAAAAAAAAAAAATGGTCGGAACGAAAAGTGACATCGCTCCGGTCCTCCAAGAGCACAGAGATGTGTGGCGGCCATCTTTCCTTCGCTCATCTCGATGGTTTCTCAGGAAAGGCTGAACAACCGAGCGGCAGACGGTGGCGAGGTTTTTTCGGCACCTGTATCGGTGCTTTTTTTCATTTCACTCGAACCGTTTCG